AGTCTTCCTGCAATGTGCCAGCGTCTAGCAACTGCCGCGGGGATACATCTTCAAGAAAATAAGCACACTCCAGCAACGATAATGCCTGCAAGTCTTCATTCAGCTGCTGCAACCAAGGGTGAGAAATCGCATCTTCTGGGGGGTCGTGAGGAAAGCGGCCGAACATAGCGGTGACGTACAATTGATGATGAAGAGGATGACTGCATATCTTCTGAAACCATTTCAATCTCTGTATACGTAACTCTGTAAGTGTGTCTGCCATGCCGATGTTGCGCCACACTTCGATCGATGGAATGGGTCGATACTTAATCGTGCCGTCGTCGAGAAGGGTCTTTTGGGTAGCCTTGCCTTTCATGAGTTTACGTGCCTTGTACAGTATATATTTGTCGAAGATGTTGTAGTCGTGCTGGGTGAGGACGAAAGCCGTGAGCCCTGAGACAAGTGCTGACCATACTGTGCATCGAAATACGAGAACGCGAAAGCGAAGATCAGTGCGAGTAAACCAAAACCTTTTGAATATAAACCATGCTTTGTTGGCAGCTTGTATCCTTAAGTTTCGCTCGACATAGAAGCAATTGCGGTAGTGTAGATATGGCCCGAGACATCGTGCTGCGCTGAGTACTTTGTATTGTGACTGTTGTGCATGTACTTGTCGTTGATATGTATGCGCAAGCGTGCCGACGAAGTGTACGGTGGACTCGCTCTTGCCCGTGTGCTGAGCGATCGTGTACTCGTCGAGTATGGTGTTCAGGACAGTGTCGTGCCGTGCTTGAGTATCGTAGAAGCTCGTAGGTGTAGTGACCGTGTACTGCTTACATAGATCGTCGACGAAGGAGGTGATGGACATGTCGATGACGGCCGCATTGAGAGGAGATACGGCCAGTAGATGATGATCTTTCGCTTTTTCCTCCCATGCGTGAACAGCTTGCCAGTACGGTACGTGAAACTCGTTGGTCGCGACACTGTTGCCTTGGAACGTGCCGCTGCGAGGATAAAATTCTGCGGGAATATCCGATGTCTGTAGAACACACGTGGCATGTCGGTGATGCTGTCGTAGTAGCCGTTCGTCCTGTTCAGCGACGTGAACTGGCGTAGCCTCCTCTTCTTCGGGAAAGTCATCGTCGGGTTGAGGCAGCATCAGAAAGTGAGTAGCTTTGTCCATAACGTCATGAGACGGCGAAGCGAACGCGTTGACCACGTCGTAGTGGTGATTGGCGATACTGATACCATGTTTGGAGCACCGATGAGAAACCAACATCTTGACAAGAATAGCTTCTTCTCGACGGCGGCCAGGAACAGCGAACGCATGATCAGGTGGAGGCCGCGAAGGTTTGCCAGGCCGACGTAACAGACCTTTGTGATAAGCCTTGGAAGACGATGATATGCTGTGAACGATTCGAACGTCATCTTTTTTGGGAATTTGAAAACCTTGGCTGCGATGAAACTGAAATGGACTGTGACCAGTAGCCCGTGTCATGTCGAGGATGTGCTGAAGGCGTTTGACGAAAAGCTTCGGCTCGTAAAGTGTGGGATCATGACCAACTCCATGTGTCTCCTGCTTGTAGACTGCCTGGGGCCACAATATCATTTTCCAGACTTCGTTGGGGACATCCCAGGAAGGAGGCATTCTACGATTTGAGCTTTTTCGTATCCACCAGCTGACTTGTTTGAGGTCATATTCACCAAGTAAGTGGCACTGATAACTAACGTGAACTTCGTCATCATGATCGTCGAAGAATTCCTGACGTACTTGTGAGGTAGGTAAACGTATGCAATTCCAGCCGCCTTGAGAACCAGGTTGAGAAAGTTTGGCAAACCATTCGGCTTCTGAGCGCCGTCGAAGTGCAGCTTTGTGATAATTACGAAGTCTTCGTCCAATGCGTCTGCCTGTAAGAAGTCGTGCCAATTGCCATGCTTCAGCCAGCCGTCGTTGTCGCCAGGCGTCTTGAAGCTCGAGACGTCGTTGTTCGTTAAGTTCTTTGAGACGTGCAGCGTGAAGGCGACGAATATTACGATTGACACGAAACAGTGATGCCAGATTATGCCAGTGCTGAAACGAGTAGTAAAGAATGCCATGTTGTGAAACGACAGGCGCTTGTAGGCACTGAACTCGTAGCTCCCGTCGTTGTCGAAGTAGCTCTTGACGTTCATGAGAATGCGGTCCAGCTTGTTGAGTCTGCTTGCCGTAATGTGATGCAGCAAGAGGGAGGAGACCTTTTTCAACAAGCATTTCCCATTGTTCAGATGAGCTCTTGTTGGCGATAGCATCAAGTACGAAACGGTTGTCCTCGGTCCACTTGTCAAGAGCGATGAGAAACTGTTGTCTTTTTGAACCCTGCATAACAGATTGTACGAGTCGGTCGAAATCCCAGCGAACGTGACACTCTGCTTCTTGCCCTTCGTATCTTAGATTGTGCTCAATGAGCGCATAGACAGGGTGATGATCGACTCGACGCGTGTCAGGAACCAGCTGCAAACGATCCCCAAGAGAACGTAAAGTCTGACATTTGCGAACGTGCTGCGCCAAATAAAAACTGCGAGGCACAATGATGAAATCAATGTAACTTGAGGAGCCAGACACTCCATGATAATATGTGGGGAAGGTGGGGTAGAACGTGTTGAGTAAAATCAAGTCATGCTTGAGAAGAAACTCTATGAACTGATGGGTGCGAGGTTGCTGAAGACTCCTGTTAAAAGGCCCAGTGCAGGAATCGTCGGTAGGTGTGGGGCCCGCTGGGGTCCTGATGAGCCCGATATGCTCATTGGAGTCGATGCCCAGCACAGGTAGTGTACGGGATGGTAGGGAAGAATAAAGCTCTTCAAGCCACGCCAGCGTTTTTTGATAATCTCGTCGGGATCTGGCCGTGTCCGTGTTGGGGGGGAGGTAGGCGGAGACGAAAGTGATGTCCGACTGGTGACTTTTGCATCTGACAGCGCCCCCCCGACCCCAGAGATACTGCTGCTTAGGGTAGGACACGGAGATGATGTTAGACCTCGAAAACCTCTGGGAAGCTAACGCGATAGTGACGCCAGTATGTGCATTGCCTTGTTTAGGATGATACCCAAAATGAAATTGATGGTATTCAGCGGAAGTATGTGTATCACATGGATCTTGTTCATGAACGCGACGACGTGTGCCCTGGATGAGTATGACGCTGGTGCGTAACGTGCGAGATATGTCCTGGAATCTGTCATGCTGCAGCATGCTGAGACAGTTGTAAGAGGAAAGGGAGAACGTGTGAGCGACCATGGTGCACGTGCGAGTAGAAAGCGAGTGCTCACCACCCGTATGCCATGTACGCGAGCATAGACGCAGATACGGTGACAGGTATGCCCAGCAAAAGGGGTGTGCTGAAATGGGCTGAGGAGGAGGAGGAGGAGGAGGAGGAGGAGGAGGATTGGAAGGAGAGGCTGAAAGAGAAACCGCCGTGCAGCCCGCCCCCTCATCGCCATCCGATGCCGCGCGCTTCGCCCTCATCATTCACAGAGCGGCGTCCATGCGCCGCGACATGCTCTGACCCCCTTGAGGTCCCGCTCCAACGCAGCACGGTGCATCGCTCGTCGGCTCCGAGGGCCAATGACAACGATGCACTTTATGCTCCGCCAAAATATGATCATATCCACTGCTGCTGGGTCGTGTTCCGAGGATTCGTGGGGCGGTAGATATGGATATCTGCCCGCCCACTCGGGCGGGCAGATATACATATCCACCGCTCTTCGAGATCTCAGAACACGACTCTGAAGCGGTGGATGTGGACACATGGTGGAGATGGACCGTAGCATACCTGGGTCGAGGATCGACGACGCCTCGGGAGACACCGACGCGGTACGGTACACACAGGTCGTCCCTGGAGCCCTCGAATCTGGAGCGAGAGGGATTCAAAGAGAATGCAAGAGTCTCATGCTCTGGACCGAACTGTGCATGGCGGCGCCACCAGAGAGTCACATCCATGGCTGGGGGGCGGGACACATGGTGAACATCCCCTGCCGCGCGCTTGCGCTCGACGATCCTCAGAAACCGTGTTCGCGCCAAGATGTGCTGGTCCCTGGGATCCCTCTAACACGACAAAGGCGGTTTAAGGATGGCCGACGCAGACGGAGCGGGGTAAATGCACCGTGGGCCAACACGAGTCCTGAGGACCTTCGCTTAATCCACCGAGGCCTTCCGGGGACGACGCCACGGCACTGCCCCGTGCGGCGGCCCTGGGGCCACGCGAAGGTCCGCGCGGCCAGGCTGTCGCCGCCCCGAGCGCCGTCCAAAACTGGCGCGCCGTCACTCCTCCGCTTCTGCCTCCATTCGATTATGAAAGCCCGTCGACATCGGTCGGAAGAAGTAGGTAGAAGCATGGAGCAGGACGACGGATAAAGGGCTCAGACCCTCCGAGAGGATGATACCAGAGCACAACAAGAGTGGGTCGATTATTGAGGTAAGAAGGCGCTTGAAGTATATTGGGATCTGGGCCTCCCAATAGTTGTGCACGGAGATTGACGACCTGAATCGAACCTACCGCGTGATCCGTAGGTAGAGGATGCTGAGGAGAACAGGGAAGGATCTCGCAGAAGGATCCTGCAGGAGATCCAGTGTGTCCAATACCTGAGCCGAGAGAATAGCAGGATAGAGGGGTAGAAATGGGAGATGAGCGGTCTTCACACACACACGCAAAAAAATACCTGCTCTCAACGACCGGCGTGCAGATGGGGCCCACTGTGACCTGCCGAGGGCACCCGGGCCGCAGGCGAGACCAAGGAAGGCCTGCGCACGCGGGCAACACACGCGCGCGCGGGCGGGGAATGGGAGCAGCCTCCGGGGGGAGGGAGGGAGGAGAAGGTGGGTCCTCCTCCTCCTCCTCCTGCGCCTCCTCCTCCTCCTCCTCCTCCTCCCTCCTGCCAGTTGCCTCCTGCTCGTCTTGCCTCCTCCTTCTCCTCCTCCTCCTCCTTCTCCTCCTCCTCCCTCCTGCCAGGTACCTCCTGCTCGTCTTGCCTCCTCCTCCCGCGCAGTCCTTCAGGCGCCCGTCTGGCACGGGCGACAGGAGCAGGTTGGTCCCGCCGAGGGTGCTGCCTGCTGACGGGCTGGGCACGGCGGTGGTGCGGCTCGCCTCCTCCTCCTCCTCCTCCTCCTCCTCCTCCTCCTCCTCCTCCCGCTTCCTTCTCCTCTTCCTCGTCAACATCTTGTTCCTCCCTCCTCCTTCTCTCTTTCTCCTCTTTCTCCTCCTCCCTCCTCCCTCCTCCTCCTCCTCCTCCTCCTCTCCTCCCTCCTCCGTCTCCTCCTCCCCCTCCTCCTCTCCTCCAACTCCTGCTCCTCCAACTCCTCCTCCTCCTCCTCCTCCTCCTCCTCCTCCTCCTCCTCCTCTCTCCTCCTGCTCCTCCTCCTCATCCTCCTTCTCCTCCTCCTCCTCCTCCTCCTCCTCCTCCTCATCATCATCAATCATCATCATCATCATCATCATCATCATCATCATCATCATCATCATCATCATCATCATCATCATCATCATCATCATCATCATCATCATCATCATGGTCCTCCTCACCATCCTCATTAACATCTTTTTCCTCCTCGGCATCACCAGCATCATCATCAACAGCATCATCACCAGCATCATCAGCATCAGCATCAACGTCATCATCGTCAGCATCATCAGTAACACTATCATAATCATCATCAGCATCACCACCACCGCCACCAGCACAATCATCATCACCACCGTCATCATCATCATCATCATCATCATCAGCAGCATCATCATAATCATCTTCAACATCGTCATCGTCATGATCATCATCATCAGCAGCATCATCATCATCATCGTCACCACCAGCATCATCATCAGCATCATCATCATCGTCATCATGATCATGATCATCGTCAACACCACCACCATCATCATCACCAGTATCACCACCATCATCATCATCAGCATCAGCATCATCATCACCAGCATCATTATCAGCATCATCATCATCCTCGTCACCACAATCATCACCATCAGCGGCATCTCCATCACCACCACATTACCATTACCATCAGCATCATCCACATCATCAGCATCATCATCATCAACATTATCAGCATGATCAAAATCAGCATCAGCGCCAGCACCAGCATCAGAAGCAGCATCAGCAGCATCATCATCCATGATCAGCACCATCATCATCAGCATCATCATCATCAGCAACATCATGAGTATCAACATCATCATCAACATCATCACCATCATCCTCATCATCAGCAGCATCGCTATCAGTATCGTCGTCATCGTCATCATCATGACCATCATGCTCCTGCCTCCATGCATATGCTCCTCCGCCACTCTGCTCCTCCTGGTGGTCGTCATCCGCCTCCATGCTCCTCCTCCTGCTCCTCCTGCTCTTCTTCCCTCTCCTCCGTATTAGCGGCAGACGTTGTGCAACAACGCCGCGGGCGAAGGGCCGCGGCGGAGGTGCTGACCCAGCAGAGAGGTTCGATTCGGTGCCCGGCTCGGGCCTCGACGGTTCAGGAGAGGGCGACCACGGGACAGGGAGGCAAGGCACCAAAATCAACGCGCAACCCGTCATGTAGAGAGAGAGAGAGAGAGAGAAGTTGTCCGAAAGGTGGCATCACGTCGCGCGCGATGTCACAGGAAGTGAATAAAGATTCGGGGAAAAAGATGCCTCCTCCTGAAAAATCTGACGTACCGTCCAATGACCGAAGAAACCTGAAACATGCTTCGGTTGTCAAACATAACCGGTTGCTTCGATTTGACCACGATGGAAACCACCGCAACCGCAAGTTCACAAAAAGATTCCAGGACGGGCGCAATCCCAAATTTACATGGCAGCGTTTCGCACTTGCACTCACGGTTCACGCGCATGCAATTACACGCGCCTTCGCCTTGCAAACATCACCCCAGGAACCATCTTAATTACACCAAAGGTGACCTGTGGGACCTGCGGGACCTGTGGAACCTGCCGGAATTGGGAGAAATGTTGGGAGCGTGAGCCCTGTGGAATTTGTGGGAGCTGTGCGGGCTGCGGTAGCTGTGGGACCTGAGGGACCTGCGAGACCTGTGGGACCCTTGGGACCTGTGGGACGCGTGGGCCTGGTGGGACCTGTGGGGCCTTCGAAATTGCAGAACTTGTCGTCCCTGCGAGACCTGTGGGACCTGTGGGACCTGCGGGGCTTGCGCCACCTGCGACACCTGCCTGACCTGTCGGACCTGTAGGACCTGAGGGACTCGTAGGACCTGTGGGACCTGCAGGACCTGCGATACCAGTGGGACCTGTGGCGCCTGTGGCACCTGTAGGCCCCGTGGGACCTGCGGAACTTGCGGGGCCTGCGGGACCGGCGCGACATGTGGGACCTGTGGGACCTGTGGGACCGGAGGGGCTGGGTGGACCTGTGGGGCCTGTGGGACCTGTAGGGCCTGAGGGGCCTGTGGGGCATGCGTCGCCTGTGGGACGTGTGGGACATGCGGGACCTGCGCGACCTGCGAAACCTGTGGGACCTGCGGGTCCTGCGGAAACTGCGGGACCTGCGGACCCCGTGGCCCTTGTAGGACCTGTAAGCCCTATCGGGCCTGTGGGACCTGTAGGGCCTTCGGGGCATGTGGGACCTGGGGGGACTGGGACTTGCGGGGCCTGCGGGACTTGCCAGACCTACGAGGCCTGCGGGGCTTGCGGGACTTGTAGGACCTGTGGGACATGTGGGGCATGTGGGACTTGTGGGACATGTGGGATATGCTGGGCCTGCGGGATTTGTGGGACCTGCGCGACCTGCGGGACTTGTGGGACTCGTAGGACCTGTGTTGGCGGCGGGACCTGTCGGACCTGCGGGACCTGTGGGACCCGGGGGGCCTGTGGGACCTGTGGGACCTGAGGGACCTGGGAGACCTGCGGAACCTGTGGGACCTGTGAGAGCTGCGGGACCTGCGGGACATGTGCGACCGGTGGACCTGCGAGAACCTGTGAAACCTGTGGGGTCATTCATACCTGTGGGACCTGTGGCACCTGCGGACCTGCGGGACCTGCGGGTCCTGTGGGACCTGTTGGACCTATGGGTCCTCTGGGACCTACGGGACCTGTGGGAATTGCGGGACATGCGGGACCTGCGAGACCTTTAAAACCTGTAAGACCCGTGGGGCCTGCGGAACCTGTGGGACGTGCGGGACCTGCATGTGGGACCTGTGGGACCTGCGGGGCCTGCGGGGCCTATGGAGTATGCGGGACTGGCGGGTCCTGCGCGACCTGCGAGACCTGTGGGAAATACGGACCCTGTGGATCCTGTGGGGCCTGCGGGACCTGTGGGGCTTGTGGGACCTGCAGGACCTGTGGGACCTGTGGGACCCAGTGGGACCTGCGGGACCTGCGGGGCCTGCGGGGCCTGCAGGACCTGCGAGATCTGCGCGACACGCGGGACCTGCGGAACCTGCGGAACCTATGGGACATGTGAAACACGCGGGACCTGTGGGGCCTGTGGGACCTGTGGGGCCCGCGAGGCCTGTGGGACCCTTGGGACCTGTGGGACGTGTGGGACCTGTAGGACCTGCGAGACCTGTGGGACCTTTGGCACCTTCTTTGCGACTTGTGGGTCCTGTGGGACCTGTAAGACCTGCAGGACCGGTGGGACCTGTGGGACCTGCGGGACCTGTGACACCTGCAAGACCTTGGGACCAGTGGGATCTGTTGGGCCTGAGGGACCTGTGGGACCTGTGGGACCTGCGGGACCTGCGGGACCTCCGGGACCTGTGGCACCTGTGGCACCTGTGCGGCCTGTGGGACCTGCGGGACCTGCGGGACCTGCGGGACCGGCGAGACCTTCGAGACCTGCGGGACCCGTGGGACCTATGGGACCTGTGGGACATCTGGGACACGTGGGACCTGTGGAACCTGTGGGACCTGTGACCGCCGAGGACCCAAGTAAGGCCCTGAATTCTGGGACCGCCAGGCACCCAAGTAAGGACCTTACTTGGGACCCCGGGAATTCCTTATTAAATTTGGTGGATCGACAGATGTCTCGCACTTTGGGACCATCGAGGCCCCCCGGGGGGCATTTATTAAGGAACCAGAAGTTTCCTTACGTCCACCATGTTTTCTTGGAGCGGAAAGACCCAAAGTTCAAACGTCCCGGCGTGGCCGTCGGAGGCCCCCAACCAGCCACCCAGCTTGGAAACGCGCGGCAAATGTTTCGCCGAGGCTGAACGCGACTCTGCTGCCGTCGCCACCGTAGCTGCACTGCATCCGGTGATCCACTGGCCTCAGGGCCCCGAGGAGTAAGCCTCCTAGCGGTGTCCTGACGACCTCCTGGAATATGGGGGGAGACCGCCGGGGGACCTCCCCTGGTCCTCTTGGGGGCCTCCCGCAAACTTCCAGAAGGGGGCTGGGAGGTCTCCCGGAAGCTTTTTCTGGTCCTTGCAAGCCTGCTGGGAATCCTCCCCGAGGACCAGGGTCCGGGAGCCCCCCCCAGACCTCGAAATCTGGCAGGGCTCCCTCCAAGGGGAAACTTCCGGGGAGACCAGGGGAGGCCCCCTGGAAACCTCCCCTGGTCCTCCCGGGCCGCTGGGGGGAAACTTGGTGGAGGACCAGGTGAGGTCTCCTGGAAGCTTCCCCTGGTCCTCCCGAAAGCCTCCCACAGGAGACCTCCCCCCTGCGGGAACTCTCATCGGAGGCTTCCAAGTGAACCAGGGGAAGCCTCCCAGAGACCTCCCCTGGTCGTCCCGGAAGCCTGGGGGAGGCCTCGCCTGGTGCTCCCAGGGGCCGTGGGAAGCCTCTCGCCACACCTTGTGGAAACCAAGGGAAGCCTCCGGAAGGCCTCCCCAAGCCCTCGGGGGGATCAGGGGGAGGTCTCCAGGAGAACCAGAGGAAGTCTGGTGGAGGCCCCCTCCACCTCGCCGGAGGAGGGCCCGCTGGGAGGTCTGGTCGACGTGGAAGGGGGGCATCCCACCAGACCTGTTGGAGGTGGAAGGGAGGTCTGGTACCAGACCTAGTGGGGTTGGGGGTAACTGAAGACCCAACCCAGGCAAAGCAAGAAAACCAGCATGGAGGCGAACGCGGCCCAAGACGGCACCAAAATACCCCCCAGGCAACTCACGACGGCCCAAGAGGGCCCCTAATGTCCCAGGTAGCCCCATATACGACTCAAGAGTGTCCCAGGAGGCCCCCATGACAACCCGACAGTAACCCACGACATACCACATGTTGTCCATGTGTGCCACGTGAGAACCCCAGGAGACGCAATAATGAGACAAGGAGAACGAAATGGAAAAAGGGAGGGTGACAACATGGGGGACGTGGGAAGGGGGAGGGCGACGACGTAGACGAAGGAGTGCGCCCCGAAGCGGCGCGGAAGAGCGCGTCACATGTTGCGGCCCTTGCAAGGCTATGGGCGACGACATGTCGCGCGTTATGGCTGTCGTGGCGGTGCTCGAAGACTCGCCACGCCGAGTGCTGCGCGGTCGCGGTGCGCGGGACTTGCCGCGGAACAGATCGGCATGACGCACGCGCCGTGGTTTCTACCAGAACCGCGCGACGCGTATGAGTTGTCAACAATGTTGCGCCCTCCACGAGCGGACCGGGCCCTCCACCTTGAGACGTGCGCAATAAAACACCATCAAAACATAATGCGAGTGGACGAGGGGGAAAGCAACCAGAAGAGGTCGCGCGAAAGGTGGACAACAAATGAACGATGCTCACAAAAAAAAAATCACATGCGCAAGCGCCCAACGAAACAAACTTATAGACACTCCAACAATTTGGCGTGCCGCGAAGAAGGGAAAAAAGGGGCGGGGGGCCCGCGTGCCCACGAGGAACAAACTTAACGGCATGGTAATCGCTACTGGACACGCCGTCACGCAGAGCCGCTCTGACAACAAACGCGCACACGGGCGCATCATCGCGCAAAAGCGGCCGAACCACGCCGCGCGAAGCATCGCTGCGCCAAGGCGATCCGCCCATGCAAAACACGCGCAAATGGCATCCGAAAAGAGCGTTACGCGCCGCGCAAACAAATATGGCGCGGTGCCGCAACAATCAGGCGGCTACGAATGTAAACTCCTCTGAACTGCGCGCACGCGCGTCGTGTTAAACAGACCGCGCCGCGCAGGCACGCCACTCGGTCTCGCGCCAGCACGTCGAAGGGAAGGTCTGCGGGAGACGCTCTGCAAGTGGCAATGAAGCAACCCCACGAGAACGCGATACATGTGAAATCGAAGCACGTGCCAACAGTAACCGCGACAACAGAACAACCAACAAAAAATCATTTTAAAGAAACATCCATAACTTCCGGTTGCGGTGGTTTCTTGCGCGGTCACGATTGTCAAACATGAAACGAAGAAACCGTTCACGCTCGCGAGACCAGCCTGACCCCGGATTCAATCGCCTTGTCCTCCTCGCCCCGTAGGTTGAGACGACCACGTCATCGATAGTTGACAGGGCACGTGAAATGGCCTGGCCAGACCCGCCCCTGCGTTGTCACGCTTGTGCATGAATGACCGCCCTTGTGACTGCGAAGACAATTATGGAACTCTGTCCTTCTCGTAGCTTACATGGCGGGAGGCTTCTCTCCGCTCCACAAACGACGTCATCGTGCGATAGCATTACCACATGCAAGAAGGGGACTTTAAGGGGCCCTTCCCGAATGTGTAGGACTAGCTGAGCCACGAAACACATTGCTCTTACGCGAGATGGCATAACGACCCTGCGCGGTGGCTTACGCGGGCCGCCAGCGAGGCCTACTACATCACTATTGGAGACGAGGGAGCTCACGTAAGACCCTACGCGGGCAACTTACGCTCAAATTTCGGCGCGCACGACTTCGTTATTCCCCAAGTCCAAAGATGGGGTTCTTGTTATTACTCTGACGCCTCCTACTCTTCATCCTCCTTCTCCTTCTCCTCCCCTCTCCTCCTCATGCCCAGACTTACTCATACACAGACTGACTCACACTCAGACTTACTCATTCCCAGCCTTACTCACACACAATATTACTCATACTCAGACCTACTCATACTCAGACCTACTCATACCCAGACTTACTCATGCTGATACTCACTCATACCCAGACTTACTCCTGATCAGGCCTTCTCTTTGTCTGACTTACTCTACACACAGCAGGTTGTGAGGATGTCTCAGGCTGGGCGCTGGTTTCAGCCGCCGAGGGGTATGACACGGTCCCGTTCGCGGCCGTTTTGTGGGGATGTCTCAAGCGGTTTGCCTGTTGTCTGGCCCAACATCATTCGCGTTCGGAGCAGATTTGGAGGATGTCTCGAGCGAGGCGCTCATGCTCACGCCCCTAAGGGGAGCCGCCGAGGGGTATGACACGGTCCCGTTCGCGGCCGTGTTGTGGGGATGTCTCAAGCGGTTTGCCTGTTTTCTGGCCCAACATCCTTTTGCGTTCGGAGCAGATTTGGAGGATGTCTCGAGCGAGGCGCTCATTTTCACCCCCCAGGTGGGCCAGATTTTGAGGATGTCTCGTTCGGTTGCCTGTTTTGGTGGCCAGACTCGTGGGCACAGATTCTCCTCAGGGTGCCACAGGATGCTCCAACAGGCTCCAGGAGGCCACTGGGGACCACACGAGGTCCCAGGAGACATCAGGAGGCCACAGAAAGACTCAAGAGGCCACAAGATGTCCCAAGATGCTCCAGGAGGCCCCAGGAAGCTCCAGGAGGCCTCAGGAAGCCACAGGAGGCCCCAGGAAACCACAGGAAGAACCAGGAGACTTCGGAAGGCAACAGGAGGCCCCGAGAGGCCCCAGGAGCAGGAGGCCTCAGAAGGCAACAGGAGTGGCTCCAATCCCATGTGTTTTACGTATGCTCCTATAGATTGGGGCTCACCTGGAACACGAATCCTTGACGTTATACGTATGGTTATATATATATATATATATATATATTGTCCTTCTCCTGTGAACACTATCCTAAATGTGTTACTTATGTTCCTATATGTTGGGCCTCTCCTGGGGCACGAGTCCTTGGTGCTTTACATGTGTTCCTATAGATTGCCCCTCTCCTATGGCTCCAATCCGCAATGTTTTATGTACGTCGGTTGCTATAGATTGGGCCTCTCCTGGGGCACGAAGCCTCCCTGGGAGGTCCCAGGAGGCCCCAGGAGATCCTAAGAGGCTCCTGGAAGCCCCAGGAAGCCCCAGTATGTGTCAGGAGGCCCCAGGAGGCCCCAGGCTCATGCGCAGAGACGCGCTCGTACTACTGAGGCTCACTCACACTCCAATTCATTCGCAGTCAGATTCATGACCAGACCGTCACAACTGAAGCCCGTTTATATTCGAAAGCCCTTGCGCCTAGACATTCACGGCGGACAGGTCCATGCGAATAGATGCACATATGGGGAGCTCAACGCAGTGAGTAATTTTAGAAGACGAAAGAACGCCATAAACATAAACTTTGGGCTCTCCGCGCGGATCTCTTGCATCTGCGCTGGACCCCCCTCCCTGCCGCGCGGAGCGCGCCAAGGGCGGCGCCGGAGGCGCCGCTGGGGGGCCCAGCGCGAATCCAAGAAATCCGCGCGGAGCGCCAACGGTGTATGTTTATGGCGTTTGTTCTTCTTGGATTTCTGGGCGTCGCTCAATTGGACATTCCCTTCTTTCGCATGGGCCAAGCGGGTACTACTAGCCACCCTTCAGGGGGCCCAAGGAGACACAGATCAAAACACACAAAAATCCCAGGATTCCCTACATTTTTCCGTATCGTCTGGGTGTTCGTCATCCCCCCACTTCCCACATCTTCCCATACTTTCCTGGGGGCCGACGATGAATTGTGTCTTTGTGCTTTTCCCCCTCCTGAAGCCTCCGTTGGGCTGCGTGCCTCCCTCTCGGCGGGTGGCGGACCAGAGCCACCTCCCTTCCAGGAACACCCCGAAGTCCCGCAGAGGAGCCCCGCACAGCGCCGGACAGCACCGACACGCCGCCGAGAAAGCTGGCTAAAACCGACAGCCCCCTCCCGCTCAGGAGGAGAAGGGAGCTTGGAGGAAGGAGGGGGGAGGAGGAGTGAGTGAGTGGAAGGCAAGAATCGCAGGGCGAGTCGAAAACGAACCCATCGCTTGCGAGCGAGCTTCTCGGACTTGCTTATGGCCGCTGGCCATCGATCGGACCCGACCCAACTGTAACACTCGGAGGGTAGATGAGGACACAGGGAGGAGGGAGGAACAGGAGGGAGAAGGAAGAGAAGGTAGGGAGGGAGGGAGGACGAGGAGGGATCCCCCTCTCCCCCTGGAGGGGCCCATCAGGATGGAGAACTTTGTGATCGGCGGGTCGGCCGGGTCGTACTCCAGCCGCTGCAGTCCCATTGACCTCTGGTAAAACTTCACCACAGGCTCGAAGGCCGGCACCTGGAGCAGCGCGGCGCGGGGGGAAAGGGAAGGACCCCAGCCGACCAGTTGCGTGTTCAATCAACTGTTTGGTTTGTTCACGGAATTCGGCCCTCAAGGGCCGCTCTCAACGCCCAGGGCCACCGAGCATGAATCTGGGACGACAAACCAGCCCCGAGGGAACGGTCCGGACCTCCGGGGCCGCGGATTGCAACAGCCTCTTCTCGGCGGAACCCCTCTGGAAGTCGGGGCGGGGCCCGCGGGGGAGGCAACCCAGGAGACCAGCAACCCCTCTGGAAGTCGGGGCGGGGCCCGCGGGGGAGGCAGCCCAAGAGACCAGCCAGCACCCCGAAGCCATCGCAGGCCTCGGCCGGGCTTGGCGGCGGGGGTGGGCGGGCCGCCGTCCGCCGAGGCCCCGGGGGGGGCAGCAGCGGGGCCTGCTCGTGGTGTCCCTGCGTGTCCCCCGGCACTGTCCAATTCACAACGGAGTTGCGGCCAGTCTGAGAAGACGAGAACTGTGTTGCTCCAGTCACACTTCGGGACCGCATCCCAGAAATCATTTCGAGCACCCAGAGAAGTGTCGAAAGAGTGAAACAGCGTCGGACAAGGGTCTCCCAGGTCCCGACACGTGAAAACCCTGGTGCCCGAAATTATGGTGCTCGCAATTCTTTCCTTTGATCAAGGCTAAAATAGGTTGGAACATCATAAGACGAGAAGCGTCAGGGGGAAGATGGGGAGGATGTTGTAACAATGTCTCGGTTGGCCTACTGGCGAGGCGTCTTGCTTCGCCAGCCGAAGTACACGCGCGCGCTTCCCGCGAGCGGTTAGCACCAAAGGTACCTCGTCGTCCCCTTGGCGGACTACGTCACGCACTACGCAGGGCTAAAGGCGGTCCGAATTCAGGGAAAGCTGGCGCCACCGTCGCCGCCCAGGCCTCCAGGGCAGCAGCTGGGCCTGCTGGGGCGCGGTGTCGTTGGTGTGTTTGCCTCGCCTGGTTCTGTGGCAACTCGTGACAGCCTCTCATGCCACCTGGCTGGATTGTGCGGAGCGTTGGCGGCCGACTGTGAAGACGAAGCTTCGAGTACATGCGAGGCCTGCTGGGGCGCGCTGGCGCTGGCGGGTTGCCCCTCTCGGTAGGGGGCGAACGCGCCGGCGGCCGTGATGGGGGAACTCGCGAGAGGCGACCGTGTCCGTATCCGCGCCCTCGCGGCGTGGATTCCGGGACGCGATCCCGTGGATGCGCGGTCGCGCAGATGCGTTCCGTGCGGGGCATGCAAGACAAAAGTGCCCCATGTCCCCAGGGTCGCGGCCCAGGGGCCCGGCCCGCGAGGCCGCGGATAGGAGTGAGTTCTTCGCCCGCGAGGAACGAAGAGCCCGCGGCAGCATGTCACGGCCCCCCGAGTTTGAGAGATATACGTTCCTGTGCGTAGCTTTAAAACTGCTGCTATGTAGCAGGCGCAGGGACGCCACTGCTTCTGCGCGGGATCGAGGCGCCGAAGCAGCCATACGCAAAACGCGCGTGGGCGGACAGGCGAAACTGGGCAAGCGTACGAACAACGTTGCACGGGCGCGTAATGGCGAACAGGCGCGCCAGACGCGCAGGGAGACAGCTCCGACGCGCCAAATGCGCGCCAGGGGGGCGAAGGAAGGAGGCGGAGGATGACGACGAATATGACGATGGCGGGCAGAGGGTGCACACAAGTTAGCGAGTGACTGGCTCAGGGGGGGGGGCATCGAGCCAGAATCGGCGACACATCGCCGATATCTCGGCGATCGGCCCCCACTAGCGAATCGGCTCGACCTGGGCGGTGTGGGCCATCGGACCCTGTCGGTGGCAAGTGGGCGATTGGGTGTCGACGCATCCCTCCGAGCCTATCCCCCCTAACGTTCGTTGACCCTGAGGCTGCAACAGGGCCGCCCCTAGGTTGCCCACCCCTTCTGCCTACGCCGAGACTGACTCGAGCATGGGCCGAACGTCCGGGTATGACTAACAGGCCTAGTACGAAATATTTTCAGAGCTGAATTCTGCTCTGATAACAAAGCACTATGCTTAGAAGACAGAGCTTACGTATGGAGGCGAAGCGGTCTCAGCCAGAAATGCTCTGAGAACGTTTCGTGCAAGCTACACCAGTTATCATGTTTTCGGTGGGGGGGGATATGTAAGAACGACACCCTATCTGATGAGGTAGACGCTCACGTGCATAATCTTCAGGTTGGTGATCACCGCGTTATTGACGACGTCGGGTAGACATCATCGGACTGGGATCAGTCAACACACCTTCACGTCCTGATTTAAGCACTTCAATACCCATCAAATAAGCAGCACGCAGCATACGAGCACGGTCGCTACGTTCTTCAGCTTGTGAGAATGTAATCCAGCCAGACTTCGAAGTCACACGAGGGACAGATGTCAAGAACCCCGAGTCCAGCACACAGCTATGTTGTATTGCTGCACGTTCTGCTGACCAGCGGGGGGCACTCCCCCCAGTAGTGTCGGAATGATGGTTGCACATGGCCACAATGCTTGCATGAAGCCCCTGTGCATCTCCGCGTCTCGGACGTGACAGCGCCACTGCGGAAGATGCCGAGGAGGCGGGCGGCGTTCTGACTCGGATAGGGTCTCTATCCACTTGGTGAAGCTCTTGTCTGAACATAGATCTACATCCACATCGTCGATCTCCTCAGCGTCGTAGCGTTTGCGCTGGACCTGGAGCAGGCAGCCAAGACGCCTCGCCACTGCTTCAGAGACGGTCCGAGGGCGATCTGCTGACCGGCCCCGGCGGGCCAGGGCCCCCGATTGCGCACTGATGCGAGCCTGGGACAGGCAGAACGCTTCGGGTGATGCTGCAGCCCCGACGGCTGCCGTGCGGCGCAGGCGGAGCAGAGGCGGGAGGAGGAGACGCGCCAAAGGCAGCCTGACGGAGAGCCTCTCGAGGGCGCCCACCCGGTGATCTCGAGCCCAACGGGGATCCGCTCGGCCTCGCTCGGGCCTGGTTCCAGCGCGGCGTTCCCACGCGTCCGAGGAAGCCGGTGCCTCCTCCTCCTCCGCCTCTAGCTCACCCAGCAACCGCCCCTCCTCCGTTTCTGTCTCCTCCTCCGCCTCACCCTCCTCCGCCTCCTCCTCTCCTCTCCATCCAACTGCTCCCCCTCATTATCTTCGTCATCATCAATCATCCTGACCTCCTGGCCCCCATACTTCTCCCCCTCCTTTCCTTCCTCCTCCTCCTCCTCCTCCTCCTCCTCGGCGCCCTCTTCCTCCAAAGTCCGTGCCTCCGCATTGTCCTGCTCTTCCTCCTCCTCCTCCTCCACCTCCTCCTCCTCCTCCTCCTCCTCCTCCTCCTCCTCCTCCTCCTCCTCCTCCTCCTCTCTCCTCCTCCTGCCCTCCCCTGCTCCCTCTCCATTGCCAGCACCTCGATATTCAGGGAGATCAGCTCCACCCGCGGTTGGGGGTCATCGCGCGGCAGCAGCCTGGCCCGCCGAGCGAGTCGGCCGCGCGGCAATGCCCCCCCCGCACACTCCGAGCGGCTCCCCTCTACTCCCGCCCTGCCCTCCCCGCCACCACCCCAGAAACACCCTCCACCCTTTCTCCGCCCGGCCGTCTCTTCTTCCTTCCCCTCCTTCTCCTCCTACTTGTCATCCTCTTCCTTGATTTCCTCCCCCTCCTCTTTTTCCTCCTTCTCCTTCTCCTTCTCCTCCTCCTCCTCCTCCTGCTCCTCCTTCTGCTCCTCCCTCCCTCCCTCATTCCCTTCCACTCACCCCATTCATCGCCCCCATGCCCGCTTGCCGCGTACCTCTCCCCACCCAGAGCCCCTCCTCGTCCTGCCGTGCCTCCACTTCCTGGTGTCCTCGACCTCCTGGTTTTACCCGCTCGGCCCGAACCGCCCCCAGCAAGGCGAAAAACGAAGGAGTGGAAGGGCGAGTAGAGGAGCTGCTTCGTTGATATGTGTATATATACACACATATATGTATGTGTATCTCTATATATATATATGTATATATACATGTATATTCCACTCATATCTCCATATCCCAGTATCGCATGATGCCTCTCTGCCGCCCTCTCTCTCTCTCTCTCTCTCTCTACGTACGGAGTCACGCAAGTGGCACGCGCGCGACTGGTATAACACAACGGAACGCAACAACACATACATCCGAAAGGCAAGATGCACTGCCCCCCAATCACATCAACACACATACAAAAACAAGCACACACACAACCACACAAACACGCACGCACGCACGCACTCGAAAACACACACACACACGCGTTCCTCAAGAGGCGAGGTGGCCGCAGCTCTGCGAGTACTAAGGCGGGGCACCATACTTCAATTCCAACTGGCGTTGCGGATGACTGGGCTGCGTCGCGGGTACTCGCGTGCAGAACAAGTGACTGCGCTAGGCCAGCAGGCGTGCACGCTACATTTCACAGCGCACCCGGGCCGCGATGGAAAAGGTAAGGATGACAAAACCGAGTAAGCCCATCCAACCACCAGCCGTCAATGGCGTGCGATTCGATCCGCCCGGCGCATCTGCAGCACATACACACACCTGCTTCGGTTGATTGGCAGGAAACGTGCGCGAATCGTCCGGCCAATGATGTCAGGCTGGCGGGTACGTTCGGCCCCGAAGCAAAAAAAAACATCCTTCGAAAGCATGAGACCCTCCGCCGGCCAATTTACCCCAAACCACAAGATCACTCGAGGATACCCCCCCCAGGATGCACAACAACATCCAGCAATCACGAAAATCACCACGGTGCCCCCCCGATCCGAAGTCGACAACGTAATAACCTCGGCCAAACCATACAAGACTGGGGCAGCGGCGCGCGGTTCCGGCAGCCAGCGGCCTCATTGCATGAGGAAGCGGGCCATCGACACAAGCAACACACAAACACACACACACACATACACAACATGTGTTTTGTTTTTGGTCCGTCGTGGCGCGGCAAAAACGGTCCTCTCGCGCGTCCAAGCAACCGGGCTACGGTGTTGCGAACTGCCCCGCGTGCAATGAACCGGCGGAAGCAACGGGGGGGAGTGAAAAGGGGCAACATCTTCTTGTCGGACGGCTTGGAAGTCCCCCGGCCTTCAGAGAAACGTCCGGAGAGTTCCCCGAGAACGCAAAGCACCCCCCAGCAGGCGCGAGGTCATCTGAAGAGCCCCGCCGCCTTCTGCAAAACCAAAAAAAGCGGTCCCTTTTTCCCTTCCTCCCGTCGCTCGTCGGCTGCACGCACGAGTGACCCTGGCCTTCAGGGGGCCGCGTCGGCGCCAATTCCAAAAAAAAATCCAAGCGCGACGGCCAGTGTTTGGAGGACCCCAGTGGGCCCCAAACCGAGGTCATTCCGGCGAAAGGTCACCCGTACGCGTCGCCGAAGACGGGAAGGAAAAAAGTGAACCAGCCGCCAGAAGCAGCACGCACGCTCTTGCCCTCCGCTGGCGCTGCGGTACCGCACGGTGGCGATGCAAGAGCAAGCGGCATACACATGTCAAGCGGGCGTCGCAGAAGGGGCTTCAGGCGCGGTCGGCAGGCGGAGGTGCCATCCAAGACGAACTTGGTCGAACGCGTAAAGATCAAATAAGCAAGCCACGGCCATGCGCACTGATGGTGGAAACAGCGAAGCGATGAAAAGCCACGATGCAGCGGCCGACGAGACCACGGAGAGAAAGCAAACAGCTGGCACAAAAAACACACACACGCACGCACGCACACACGCACGCACGCACGCACGCACGCACGCACGCACGCACGCACGCACACACACACACACACAATTGCGTCGGCGGCAGGACTTGGGTCTTCCGCGCCAACGGAATGGCCCAGACGGGGATACCGTTGAAGCGAATGTGGCACCATGCAGGAGGGAGGGGAAAAGCGGGGGACGCGGCCGAAAGAGGGGTCGGAGGAAGCGAGCCGCTCAGGGGGACAGGTCAGGCACCGAACGAATGGCGCGGCCAGCCCCGCCGGCGGGCCCGCGGCAGCTGCACCAAGGGGACAGCGGCGGCGGGGCGCAGCGCGGGGGTGGGTACCACCCCGGGTGTAAGGTGCAAAACGAGCAGTGTCACAGCCTGGTGGCCGCCCTTCCCCAGGGCAGGAGCGGGCGTGGTTGCCAGCAGAGGCTGGGGCACCGGCGGCGGGCGGCACGACAAAACTCGGTGGGCCAGCGCGGGCGGCGGCTGCGAGCAGCCTGGGGCGGCGACTGCGGGCAGCTGGGCAGCGCCATGGCGGCGCGCGAGGGAGGGAGAACGAACGGGGGGGAAACGGAGGAACGAGGAAAAGGACGCCCCACCTGTGGGGCCCAGAGGCGGGGCGTCAGGGTGGCAGCACGGGCAGGGCGCTCCGCCCGGCGCAGGGGGATGCCCTGGGACAGCGAGGCCAGCAAGGGCTCGGGCCCCCCCCCCCCCTCCACCACACACACACACACACACACACACGCGCACGCACGTACGCACGCTCGCACGCACACACACACACACACACACACACACACACACACACACACACGCACGCACGCACGCACGCACGCACGCACGCACACACACACACACACACACCCACACACCCACACACACACGGATACGCACGCGTACACGTACACGCACACGCACACGCACACGCACACACGCACACGCACACACACAGCCAGACACTCACGCACGCAAGGCCTCCCCCCACAAAATCTCCCCCCACGAGATGCAACAACTCTCCCACAGGCAACCCCTGCCCCCCCACGTCGATGCCGCGACTGTCCCTGACATGTGCGGAGCACCCGGTCTTCGAGCAGGCGTCCCAGGGCCTTCGTCCGCAGCCCCGTCTCCTCCTCCACCCCCTGATCGTCCTCCTCCGTCCCCCCTGCACCTCCTCCCTCTGCCCCACCCCCCCGCCCCCTGCCCCTTCAACTCCTCGTGGCCCGCTCACAAAGCCCCTCCGGACGAGGACGCCCCGCGGCGACTCCACGTCGATGTAGCTCGGGTCGCCGTTCGTCGACGCGCCCCCGGACTCCTGGGGCCGCCGCGCAGGACGGCGAGGGGGCGGAGAACGGCGAGGGACGAGAACGGAGGAGGATGGAGGAGGGGGAGGGAGGAGGGGGAGTGGCGGGCGGGGAGGGAGGAGGAGGATGGAGGAGGGGGAGGGAGGAGGGGGAGGGAGGAGGGGGAGGGAGGAGGGCGGAGGATCATGGATCCTACCTTCCGGGCCTGCCTTTGGATCATGGATCATACCTCACGTATCGTTTCCTGCAGCCTCGGGTTATGGCTTGGCCCTCGGCTGAGTGATCAAACTCATGACCTGGACATCTGCGGCTTGCTGAAGGAGGGAATGCGGAGGGGAAGGAGGGGGAGAAAGGGGAGTGAGGAGGGGGGCACATTCTCGTTGCTGTAGCCTGACTTCCGCCTACTCATTCTCCTCGACCTGCCGGTGTTGCTGCTGCTGCTGCTGATGATCCTCGACTTCCTCTTCCTCCTGTCTTCGCGCAGGCAGCCACGGTCACTTCCTCATCCCTCTGCACCCTCCTTCGCAGCTGCGTACAAGTCCCACCAGGCCTCTGAGGGTTGATGGTTTCTGCAGCTTCATCTTCCAATCTCCTTCTACCCCTTCGGGGAGGGAGTCTCACTGCTACTGGTTAAGCACCCCCTCCACAACTCGACCGGTCGTCAAATAGGAACTTTGCAACTTCCCCTGAAGCCAGCGAAAAAAATATAACATGCACTCGGCGTCAAACTCTGCATCTTGAGCGGGCCCTCGGCAATCACTTCGAATTTTCTTCTGCCGAAGACGGCGGGTGTGTGATCACATCTGTCCGCTGTGCGCTCGCCCGCTATCCGCATCAAAAGACCATGCGAACTGGTTGCGGGTGATCACGCTGTTCACCATGCTCACCACTCCGCCGCCACTGTTCACTTGACCTTGGAAGGGATGGTGAGATGCCGAAACATCGCCCGACGTGTGCTGTCACGTGCACTGGTGCTCGTGACGCGGCTGGAGCATAGCACATGGCAGACTGGGCGCGGGTGGCGCACGCGGCAAAGCAGGGGCGTCTGGCACGCTCGGGCCCCGGGGTCACCGAGCGCACATGGTGCGCGTGGCGCACCTGACACGCGTGGCGACCCTCGCGGGCTTCGCGTGCCTGGCACCTGCATTGATTCCAGACTGCTGCCCATCCGATGGCAACCTCTGCCGACGCTGAAGATTGGTCGCTCCTTGCATGGTGGGCGGGCGGGCGGGACTGAGCCAGGCAGTTAGTCGCGCTCGCGTTGAAAACTTGACCCCTTCTCCCCCCCCGTCGTTAGAACGACTGGAGCAAACAAAACTACACCGCCATTTTCTGCAACGCGGCAAAACTGCACTGCATTGTTTCCGAAACTAGCACTTACGGATAAACTGCAAACAAGCCCCACCGGACGGGGTAGCAGAAAGCCAACCAAAAAGTTGCAGTGCAGCAGCCGAGAACGTCCAACGCAAACAACATCAGGCAAATGCTGCATTGAACGCGAAAGCCGGACAAACTGTACTGCAACAAAGTGCGCGTTTGTTGCCTTGAACTGGCCGTTTCCTTTTACCCCGCCTGCTCTTCTCATCCCCAATCTATGACGACGGGCTCAACAATTCCCCTCTAGGGTCTACTCAGGCTGACTCTGAGCTTCGGATTAACAGCTGGCTGACCTGTCTGTTCACCTGGCTGTTCCTGCTTTTCCTTGAGCAAGCGGCTTGCTCAAGGAAAAGCAGGAACAGCAAGCCAACTCGCCTGACGATCGTTTATGGATGGGATGGAGACGACACGCGAAGAGTCAACAAGAAGAGGATGATCAGACTCATCGCAATACGATCGTGTTGCTCTTATCGCATGCCCACCGTCTCCTTGCTCGACCGTTGCCACCCCGCCCCGCAGGCTTCGACCTGCGACCTGCGGCGGACCAGGGTGGGCGCGCAGAAGTCGTCAGAGACACGCGTCCCCGACAGACCACTGCTCTTTACGACAGACCGTGCTCGGTCTGCGGCGAGCTCGGCCCAACACGCTGTCCGGCGAGCGGCGGGACGCGTCCGCGGCTGAGTACGGCGAGCGCCAGGGGCAAGTAAGGGCGGAGGGAGCGGCCGCGGAACGGCCGGGGAGAGCTCTCAAGACCAGGAAGGGCGTCGGTCGGCGCCCGAGGGCCAGGCTCGCCTCGTGGCAGAAGGCGCCGCCCCGTCTCACACCTCGGCGACGGGCCGAATCCGCACGGCGCGAGCTCACGGCCTCTCTGGCAGTGTGCACGGGGCAGGAGCTCCTGCACCTTCTGGAACAGCTCCATGATCTTCCCCTTCAGGCCGATCTGCACAAAATTCAGGGCGTTGACGGTCGGCTGCATGACCTCTCGACGCGAGGCGAGGGGGGGCACGGTGCACTCCAAACGCGGAGAGAAACCGATGGATGGGTACGAGTGGGAACTTCTAGGTTCAAGAGTCTGACTGCGTCCCACAGGTCACAGTCCGCGCAGTGAAGAGCACGGGGAGAAACAAAGCAAGCAATGGAACGGCTAAGAAACTTGTACGACCCAGAGGAAGAGGAAGGGGAAGAGCATAGTGGAACCGATCGGGAGGGAGCGGCATGGAACGGGCGACCACGAGGGAATACTGGCACACAAATTGTGGTCCTGCCCACTCCCGCCCTCCAGATCCCTACCCCGGCCCTGCAGCAACAAAGCAGAAACAGTGGGTTTGAGAATCGGCTCGCATCCGCCGCGCCCATCGTGCATGCAAGGTCCGCGATGCCAAAAACAAGACACTGCAACTTGCAGCACGCGATCGATGAAGATGGTAGTCCCATAAACTATCAATATACATGTGATGAATGTTATTTGGCACGGGAACGCGCTCGCTTTCAAGTAGCCGACTTAATTGTCAACCATCACCAATACAGTGCATGGAAACTGACATCGAACCACATCTAAATCCGCCGATCCGGCGTGTGGGTTTGACAAAAGCCTCAGCTACAACCTACAGCCTACAGCCTGAGCTTCAGCTCTGCTGGGGGGGCCGTGGTGGCTCTGCCGGGTAAAGGGAAGAGGCCCCAAGAAGCTCCCAAGAGGCTCCCAAAAAGCTCCAAGAGGCCCCAACGAGGCCCCCAAGAGGCCCCAAAGTGGCCCCAAGAAGCCCCGCAACTGCCCAAGAGGCCCGGGGGGGCCTCAAACTGCCTCCCAGAGGCCCCGAAGAGGCCAACCACGAGATCCCAACCAACATCCATGAGGCCTCTGACCCACCACCCAGGCACGGTGGCGGGACAGGCCGAAGGCCACTAGATCCGCCGCCCCCTGTGGTCTTGCCACAGGGGTGCACGGCGTGCTGGATGTTTCAGGTTTTGGTTTTGGTTCTTTTTCTAAAAGAACTCCCCAGTGGGCTTCGGCCCGTCCCGCCGGCCACCCGCAAGTTTCCGAAAATCCATCTGTCAATGCCTTTGTTGCCCCAACTTGGCCCAAGATGGCCTCCAAGACGGCCAAGATGGCCCAAGATGGCCTCCAAGATGCTTCCAAGACGGCCAAGATGGCCTCCAAGACGGGTAAGATGGCTCCAAGATGCACCCAAGACGGCCCAAGATGGCCTCAAGATGGTCTAAGACGGCCCAAAAGGCCCGCAAAAGGCCTCCAAGACGGCCCAAGAGCCCTCCAAGACGCCCTCCAGGAAGGCCCGAATAGGTTAAAATCATTGATTTTCCTTAGGTTTTTCAAGGATTTTGGCATGTTCTTCTTTTCAGCTCTCCGACGGCCCAAGACGGCCCAAGAGGTCCCCAACATCGCCCCAACAGCACCCAAGAGGCCTCCAAGATGGCCCCATGACGGCCCAAGAGGCCCCCAAGAAGGCCCCAAGAGGGCCTCAAGACGGCCCAAGAGGCCTCCAAGACGCCCAAGATGGCCTCCAAGACGTCCAAGATGGCCTCCAAGACGGCCCCGAGGCGCCCCAAGAGGGTCCCCCGTTGGCCCAAAGAGGCCCCCAAGACGGCTCCCGACGGCGTCAGACGTGCCAGTAACCCACCAAGATGGCCGAAGTTGGCTCGAAGCTGGCCCAAGACGGCCCAAGAGGCCCCCAAGAGGGCCTCCAGGAAGGCCAGAAGAGGCCAAAAACATGGATGTTCCTCAGGTTTTTGACGGATTTTGACATTTCCTTCTTTTCGGCCTTCCGACGGCCCGAGACGGCCCAAGAGCCCCCAAAGATCGCCGAAAGATCGCCCAAGAGGCCTCCAAGACGGCCAAGATGACCTTCAAGATGCCCACGTGTTCCCCGAAGGCTTTCCAAACCGATTCGGGGAACACATGGTCCGATGGCTTGGCAGGTCTGGCCTCAACGTTCGGCCACATAGGCGCTTCCAAAAAGGCAGGGGGCGGCGGTGATTCGCCGTAGGCGTCTTCGATCCGCCGCCCCCTTTTGCTTTAGCAAAGGGGTGCCCGGCGTGCCAAACTATATGGTGTTGGTTCTCTTTCCAAAAGAACTCCCCCTGGGGCTTCGGCCCGTCCCGCCGGCCACCTGTAACACCCCCAAAAAGCATCCGTCGTGCCTCTGTTTCCTGCAGTTGGCCCAAGATGGCGTCCAAGACGGCCAAGATGGCCCAGGATGGTCTCCAAGACGTCTCCAAGACGGCCCAATATGGCCTGCAAGACGGCTAAGATGGCCCCAAGATGCCTCCAAGACGGCGTCCGTCGTGCCTCTGTTTTCTCCAGTTGGCCCAAGATGGCGTCCAAGACGGCCAAGATGGCCCAGGATGATCTCCAAGACGTCTCCAAGACGGTCCAAGATGGCCTCCAAGAAGGCTAAGATGGCCCCAAGATGCCTCCAAGACGGCCCAAGAAGGCCTCAAGATGGTCTACGACGGCCCAACAGGCCCGCAAGAGGCCTCCAAGACGGCCCAAGAGCCCTCCAAGACGTCCTCCAGGAAGGCCTGGCAGGGCCAAAATCATTGATTTTCCTTAGGGTTTTGAAGGATGTTGGTATTTGCGCCTTTTCGGCTTTCCGACGGCCCAAGACGGCCCAAGAGGCCCCCAAGATCGCCCAAGAGGCCTCCAAGATGGCCCCATGACGGCCCAAGTGGCCTCCAAGACGGCCCCAAGAGGGCCCCAAGACGGCCCAAGAGGCCTCCAACACACCCAAGATGGCCTCCAAAACGCCCAAGATGGCCCCCAAGACGGCCCCGAAGCGCCCCAAGAGGGGCCCAAGTCGGCCCAGAAAGGCCCCCAAGACGGCTCCAGACGGCGTCAGACGTGCCAGGCACCCACCAAGATGACCGAAGTTGGCACGAAGCTGGCCCAAGACGGCCCAAGAGGCCCCCAAGAGGGCCTCCAGGAAAACCAGAAGAGGCCCAAAACATTGATTTCCCTAAAGTGTGTGACGGATTTTGACATTTGTTTCTTGTCGGCCTTCCGACGGCCCGAGACGGCCCAAGAGCCCCCGAAGATCGCCGAAAGATCGCCCAAGAGGCCTCCAAGATGGCCCCAGAACGGCCCAAGAGGGCCCCAAGACGGCCCCAAGAGGCCCCCAAGACGGCACAGGAGGCCTTGAGGACGCCCAAGATGGGCCTCCAAGACGGCCCTGGAGCATTCCAAGAAGGCACCAAGTCAGCGTCAGAAGGACCAGAAGCCCACCAAGACAGCCGAACATGGCCCTAAGATGGCCCAAGACGGCCCAAGAGGCCTCCAAGAGGGCCTCCAGGAAGTCCCGAAAAGGCCAAAATCATTGATTTCCCGTTGGTTGTTGAAGGAGTGCGGCATTTGCTTTGTTTCTGCCTTCCGACGGCCCGAGACGGCCCAAGTGCCCCCAAAGATCGCCCAAGAGGCCCAAGACACGGCCCCAAGAGGCCCCCAAGACAGCCCAAGAGGTCTCCAAGACGCTCAAGATGGCCTCCAAGACAACCCAAGAGCCCTCCAAGACGTCCTCCAAGAAGGCACGAAAGAGTCAAAATGGCCTCCAGGCGGCCAAGATGACCTTCAAGATGTCCACGTGTTCCCCGAAGGCTTTCCAAATCGATTCGGGGAACACATGGTCCGATAGCTTGGCAGGTCTGGCCTCAACGTTCGGCAACATAGGCGCTTCCAAAAAGGCAGGGGGCGGCGGTGATTCGCCGCAGGCGTCTTCGATAACTGCAGAGTGAGAAGAGGAGGGAGGGACAAAGAGAGGACGGACGAGGGCGAAGGAGGATCACATCAGTCGGACCGCCCCAGGATCGGCGGCACTGGCCGGAGGCCACT